TGTATATAGTGTAAGAAATCAAGTAATGCTTATGCCATTTGTCATAAAAACCCTTTTTTGTTTTAGCAGAATTAGGTTATGCAGAAGAATATATTTTTTTAATTACTCAAACAGAAGTCTAGAACACTGCTGTGTTTTTGCAAAAGAAAAATAGAATATGAAAACATTTACAATATATATTAATAGCTTCTCTGATGTCTTCAGTATAGTATTATGTATTTCAACTTTTGTTTCATAACATTGATAAATAAAAATAAAAGCTCTTTATGGGTGGTTTTTGTTTTGGATAATATTAGGATGATAGGTTTGCACATGGAATTGGAATGGTATGGATATGTGGGTTCCCCAAGCTTTCCAAGAGCCAAACAATGTGGGACAGGAACAAATAACTTTTTTTTATCAGTTCAACATCGATTGGGGCTCTTGTCAGGTCCTTGGGTGCCTCGAGAAGGAGGGTACCTGTTGATTGTCTCCTAGTCATTGGAGATGGCAAAGGAGCCCTCTGGAAAGACACCAGCAGTTATGGAGCAAGGCAACTATTCTGGTGTGCCAGTCAGCTATTGGCAGTGCAGTGATGAAAACGGAGTTGGCAATGCTAGAGGAATTTGATGGCATGTTTTTGTTAGTGGATGTTGCCATGCAAGAGCATCGTTGGCCACAGGAGATCATATAAGAGCAGTTCCCTTGCAGATGATAGCATTCTGATAGCAGTGGACTGGCAGCAGTGGTAGCACAAGCAGCCCAGCAGTGGTATTGCTGCACTGTTTGGGTCACATGAAACTTGTATTAGCCAGTAACCATCTTGTCTTTGACATGCAGTACCTAGTCTTGGAAAGAACAACTATAGATATTTAGAGCTGCTGACCCACTACTATGGACTTTCCATCTTTTCCTGATGGACTGTGGCTTAGGAATGTGGACTTTTTTTTCACCGAAGAGTTGGGTTTGAATTATAGTAGATGCTCTTTACCTACCTTGACAGATAGATAACAAACGAGAATGGAGATGGATAACAGACCAGATGGCTCTCTTTTCTAAATATGAATGGTATGGTGTGAAAGGATGTGTATACAATTAAAAAATGCTGTTTATTGTACATGTTGGTAATATTTAAAAGGAATATTAATGTGAAAAATAACACGGAGGTCATTTCAATATTTTATCTATAAAAAGCATTCTGGTGTAATTGTACTTGAAATACTCCTTTTATCTTTCCGTGGTATTAGACACCAAACATATATCATTTGTAGAGTTGTTTCATTTTGGGCTTGCTCTCTTACAGTCTGTTGGCAAAAAGCCCAGTGATCACTGTAGTGCATTCAAATAAAAATATTTGTTGCATTTATCTCCATTCACTGGTTTCTTATTAAAGAGAGCATTGTTCTCACAAGATAACTACATTAAACATAGGTAATTATGTAGTAACCAATTTACATAGATGAAATTGTAAATGAAATCCAAACAGTTACAACTGATCTAGTTAGACCACCTGTATTTTTATTACAACTGAAATACAATCACTGTTTTGATATTAGTGAATCTATGCTGACTGACACAAATCCAAATGCTTTGCAGTTTAAAACTATACAGCCTGGGTCCAAGCGGAGTCCTGATGGAGGAAGAAAGTGGCGTGGGGGTGCTGCAGTATCTCCATGGTCACTTGTGGGCAAATGACTTCAGGGATATTGCAGCCATCTTAACTTTGAAACAGTGTTGTAAGTAATTTGGGGGTCTGTTTGAACAGTTGTTGAGTGACCTGTGATAAATAAAATGGCACAAGATATCTCTCATTTTTTACAATAGTAAAACTATTATAGTCAATTTTTAATTGACAAGTGAATCCTAGGTCACATGGAATTATGTTATCTATTCTTATCTGTCAGCTAATATATAGCTGTTCCAGAGGCTGAGAGTTTATAACTTTCAATAAGCCAATTCAGTCAGCCATGTATTCCAAGTATATCGAGTCACTTTTGCACAGTCAACGCATATTATATACAAAGTTCTTCCTAAACAGACAAACTCCAAATTTGGGGAATCTAATGACCCTTTAATATCTTTAAATCTTGACTTCATTGGTATCCGCTGGTGGCAATCGTGTATCAAATTGGCAACATGACATGTGCTGAAGTCATATCTTTTCTAACCAACCCCTTTGCACACACACTTTTGCTTGATTTCCTCCCAAAGACCCAGTTCACCATAGGGGAAATAAAGGTAAAGATGAATATTTTCCCCCTGTCCAGTTGTGTCCAACTCTAGAGTGTGGTGTTCATCTCCATTTCTTGGCCAAGGGAGCCAGCACTGTCTGAAGACATTTTCCATGGTTATGTGGCTAGCATAGCTATATATGAAAGGCACATAAAATGCTTTTACCTTTCCACCAAAGTCGTATCTATTAATCTACTCGCATTTACATCCTGCCAAATGGGCAGGAGCTAGGGCCAGTGGGGCAGGAATGGAAGCTCACTCCATTGAGCAACGCTCAGGTCTAAACTCCACTAACCACTGAGCCCTTGTGGCTCTCATTGGAGAAATATCTAACAAAAAATGAACTACTTTTCCCTACGATATATCTTCATCATAGAAAAGACAGTAACTATCATTTTGAAATACCCACAGAGGAATCCAAGGGCAGAACTATTCTGGCAAATCAGTGCCTCGCTGTGCACAACATTTGAAGGGACACTTCAAAGTGAATTGGTATTAAAAGTCCTTGAAACACTGAGGCTACTGAGCTTGGTAAGGTTTGGTAAGGTTACTTCAAAGGCTGTTCTTGATTGTTTTTGCAGTGAATCCATGCAGTCACTCCAGTTTACTGGCATTCTCGGAGGGAGCTGTTTGTGGCTGCACATAAAAATCAATCTGGAAAAGCAATCAAAGTAGCTTTGCTAAGCCTTCCAAAGGTTGCGTTTGTGTCAGTGCTCTGGGGAATCAATGCTGTGCATAACTCTTAGTATTTTCTGGCTATATATCCCGCAGGGCAGCTGTAGTGTAAATAAAGGAACATTTATCCATACACTCTCAACATTATAAATATATCAATCCCAAAGTGTTGAGGACTTCTGTTTTCACCTAAATGACAAAAACAACTTATATGACTGTTAAACAAATGATAATATTTTTGGATATTGTCACTCTACTCAGAATACAAAACATTCTGGAAAAAAAAAACAATGCTAAAAAGAAAAAATAATTATATCACAAATACCCATTTCCCCCACAGAGTTGGAATTCATGAAGAACAAAATATAGGAATCACACAGCTTGTATGTCCCAGTAAATGGATGTATAAATAACAGCTTCCAAACACCTACAGCAAAACATTCATTATTTTCCCTACAGACTAAAAGTAAACATTTTCACCACCACAGGACAAAGTACAAGTAAATGATCTCACATTGTGCTAAGTTTGTGATTTCTTTATATTTTGCTAAAGAAACACTAAGCCATAAAATGTCCTTTATATACTTTAATGGCTAGTTCCCCACAACATACTAAACTAAAACCGAATGAACCATGTTATGGCTTGCCCTCAATATGTAAACCTAGCCAGTGATATTCCTCACCATACTGATCCAAAATGTAGTTTTATTATTTTAGCTTTGGAGAATCCATCATTATAACTTAAGTATCATATTCAAACCAGGCCATTACAGCTTGTCCAACAATTTTTTTAAAAAAATCTGGTTCAGTATTCTGATTCCCACAATATATTAATGGTTGTAAAAATCATGACTGCAGAGTTTGTCCAAGACTCAGGATCAAACCATCCACCTCTTGGCTTTACAGAGTATTTATTTATCTTACATCAGCATTGATGTACTGTATACTATAGGATATAAGGAATTTTTGTACGATTTTTGAATTCTACTGGTAAATTACTTGTTTTCTCTTTATTCAACCTCTGTGTTTTTTGTGTATTAATTTCCTTGAAGTCTGGGCTGGGCAGTCGTAAAAATAAATTCAAATAAACGAATCTCATCCTTGTATAGAAAAACAAAGCCACAGAATCCTTACTCCTCAACAAACCTAGAGACATTAGTGGGGCTTAATCTCAAATAAACGAAGGTTTCACTACAGTAACAGTTACGGGACAGTTCTGAGCTGCCACTTGGATGGGAGGTGCGTATTTACGACCGATACTAGCACCCAAGGAACAAGAAACGTAACTCCAAAGGCTCCCATCCTTCCCTTTTAATAACGCCCTCCTTGCTATTCGACCCCTCCTCCGTCACGGTCGCCTCCAAGTATATAGATCAGCAGCGGGGCGAGAGCTGAAAGAAATAACGGGAAAGAATTACAAACCACGTGAGAGAGGCCGTGTAGTCGCCGAAGCTGGGCGGGAACGGGCGCTGTTTCCAGCCTCCGCCAAGTCGTTAGCGCACCCCGCCGCTTCAGCACGCATTTCAGCTCAGCCGGCAACGATTTCGGTCACTGCGGTGCGCTCCCGAGGCTTCCTCCAGCCCCGCTCCCCTGACTCGAGAGAGAACCGCGGGGTGTCGTCGCAGTCCGAGAGAGAAGCGGGTCCCCCGCCTGGCTCCGCTCGGGAAGAGCCGCGCCGTTGCTATTGGCTTTGCGAGAGGCGCTGTCGCTAAGGGCGGCAGCTTGGCGAGGTGGCTTCAAGCGGAGCCGGGGCTGCGCGCCCTGTAACCAAGGAGCCGGCCGCCTGCATAGGCGACGCACGGCTCTTCCCGCCGCGTCCTCCTCGCCGCGCACCAGCCCGCGCCTTCCCCAGCTCCAACCTTCACGGCCGAGGGAGAGATGGCAGGGTTTTCTTGCCTCCTGGCTCGAGCTCGGCTCTAACAGGGGACCGGGCGTCCAGGTAGTTGAGGACCGGTGTCGCTCGTCGGACCTCGGGCTTTTCCCGACCACAGTCCCCCGCCCTGCCCTGCTGTTCCCAGCCTGCTCGTTCTGTTGGAGCGAGCTGGGAAAAAAGGATAGCAGGAGTCGCCGGAGAAGCAGCACGCGAACACCAGCCTTCGTTCCTCGGCAAGCTGATGGCGTCTCGGCAGCAAAACAGAATTCAAGCCTACCTGGAAAGGAACAAGATCGGGCCCCTCTTCGAGGTAAGAGCCCCTCCGAGCCTCCGGCTTCCTGGGCTTGGACCGAGGCGGCAGCGCTCGGGTCTTCTTGGCGCGAGCGGCTGGCCGGGCAAGTGCGCGCCGGGTCAATACCAAGTTACTTCGAGTTTGCTTTAATCGAAATCGCAATTGCTGCTGGAAGCAAGCGGTGCGGGGGTGTTTACCTATTGGTGAATGATTCAAGTCGTTGGTCGGCTATTAGCGATCGGGTAGATAAATTTTTCTCCTTGACGCTCGGACCCTCACCTGGTCTTCCAAAGGTGCACGCATTGCTACCTCAACTGAGTCCTTCCACTCACTGCTGGTCGTTCTTTTCTTCCGTGCCAATTGCGGGCCAGCGTGCTTTTTTTACCTAAAGAATTGGCCAGGCATATATGCGCGCACACGCCTTCCCCCCCGCGACACACACACATTCTTTTCCTGTGTGCTGCTTCTTTCCCTTTCCACCCGAATCAGATCGGTGACATGCTCTCATAGCCCTGCCCTGTTAAAGACAGTACAGAAGGGAGGTAGTAATATTTCTACCACCTAATTCGGTTTTTCCTGTCATACAGCTTCTGATGTTCTCACTTTTACGACTCCCTTGGTGTCTCCAGACAATGAAGCTTCTCCCACAAGGAATCCAGCAATAGTACTGCAAGCTTCCTCTGGCGGAGAGACACATAAGTCTTGCTTAACTTTTAGCATTATTCTTTATTTAAATGTCTTTTGTCCATCCTACAACCCCACCCCCCCTTCCTTTTATGCATGTGCTCTATGACTCCCGTTTCTGGACCGGCAGTTGCCTTTTCCCCAGCGCTCAGGCATTAATATCTCAGATTGGCCAAATTATTTGGGCAGTATAGGCAGAAAATCTCCGAAGTGCAGTTCTGTATAATTGATAATAATAAATCACATTACTAACAATCTGCTCAGGCATTTTAGGAATGCCTAAAGCAGCAGTGGTAATGCTGATTTTCTAGCTTTGTATTTATTTTTTATGGTTTATTGATTTTTATAGTAATATTTTTATTGTTATGAGCTGTCCACAGTCACTGAGAGGCAGAATACAAATTTAATAAATAATAGTTATTATTATTATTGTTATTGTTATTGTTGTTATTATTATTATTATTATTATTATTATTATTATTATTATTATTATTATTAGTTGCACAGTCAGCCAGATAGTTAGAATGGACTTGGCATTTTTATCTACCTATCAAGCCCTTCCCAGGTATAGGGATAGACAGATGTTTTTGGGTGGCATTGAAGGATATGCTTCACAGGATATGCTGTCCCCAAGTACAGCTGTCTGATGGTAACTTTTGCCAATGCCAATGGTGTGCAAGTGTGTTTTGGAATTACACCCAAAGTACTTAACACTATTGGTACTATCTTTGGTTTCTTTCCCTGCAGTTTTTCTACTTCTATTTGCAGGTCTATCTATTTTGTGATTTTTCTGCCGTTCTTTCTCTTCTCTTCTACTGTCTCCAGGTACTGTCATGTCCCATTATTCAGACTTTTTTTGGCTTTCTTGTTGACATTTGTTAAGTCTGGGGTGTTATGCAGCAGGTGCTAGCCTGTTTGAATATTAAAGTCCCAGAACACTTTAGCTCCTTAATTTTCTGTTACTTTGTCTATTTTATGGTCTTCCCAGTTCTTCCTTGCAGGTAAGCAGTATTTCTTGCAGTTCTTCACGCTGTTGTTCGTAGTCAATTTGTGTGAACCTTTTGCAGCAGTTAAGTAGATGCTGTTTCTTCAGCTACTTTGCAGAGGCACCATTTGTTGTTACTGTCATCTCAATTCTGGCTTTGTATGCATTTATTCTTAAAGCTTGGTCTTGTGCAGCCAGAATTGGTCCCTCTGTCTCTTTCTTCAACTTTCCTGCTCTTAGTCATTGCCAGGTCTTCTGGTCTTCTGCTTTGCCTGCTTTTTGTGTGTGGACGTATCAGCCATGTAATACTTTGCCTTGCAATATCTCATTTCTGTTCTTAATTTGGTTTTTTTTATAGGCTAGTTTGGTCTCATCCATATTCAGCAAACGTTCATGGTGTACTAATTTCATTGCATCTTTTTCACTGTCCTTCAGATGTTCTTCCAATGCCTTTGTTTCTTCTTCAGCTATCTGATGTATTTGTAACATTTCATGACCACCTATGTTTCTCGGTAAGTATTATTACATAGAAAACAATGTGAAGTCATAGCTGCCAGTTCTTCAGCTGGTGTTAGTCTCCATTTGCATTGAATTCTTCCCAAGAACCTAGGATATTGCAATGTGTGGGCATGCTATACGTGCAAATCCAAGCAGTGTGGCCTTCTGTAATTGACAGAAGAAATTTTGTCAGTGTGCAGATGTTATAAGTGTTGCCAAAGGCTTTTTGTATGGTACCCAGTGTACCAATAAGTACTGGGATCAGCTGGCTGGTTTATGTCATAATATTTCACTTTTGAGTTTCAGATCTTGATATTTTGTTATTTATTTATTTATTTATTTATTTACTTTAATTTATTTATTTATTGCCCATCTCACCAACAGGGTAACTCTGTGGTCTTCTCCAATTCTTTGCCTTCTATTCTGCTATCTGTTAGTATTGCCACATCAAATATCCACACTTTCTTCTTTTCATCAGTTTAATCTGACATTTATGTGCCAAGACATTTATCAATTTGTATCAAGAAATCTAACCATATTTGAATATCTTCATTTTCAACTACTTTTTCAACTATATATTCTCACCAGTTTCTCATTATTTGGCACATTATAATTCTTACAAATGTTCCAATGAATCATTTTGATGACTTTGATGTTATAGTTGATAGCTGTTGATTCAATCTACTTGCATGAGTTGAGTGTGTGATCTACATTTCTTCTGTCTCTTTGTACAGTTTGCATTTTTAATCATTTGATGACTTTTTTTTTAAAGTTCTGGATTTGGTTATACTAGTTTGAATAGCTTCCTCTTAAGCAGCCAAATTCTTTGGTTTCTTTATTTAATGTTCCAGTTGTAAGCCATTGTCACATTTTTTTCTTTATCCACTTTTACTTTGATCTTTTGTAGAAATTGACCATGCAATCCTTGCCAGTGTTCCGTTCCTGATTTTACTACATTATTTCAATATTCATGTTTTGTTCCCTGTACATTAAGTTCCAAGTTTTAATTTGCATCAATCCTTGGCTGTCTTTTAAATAATTAGCTAATGCTTGCTTTTCTTCTTTGACAGTTTATTTGACTTGAAGTAAACCTCTGCTTCCATTCCGGTAGAGTAGGTATAACCTATGTCACTGCAAAGATGTAATGCCTGGTGGTCATCAGTTTTCTTTTTCATTTATTATGCCCTCTCACCTATTAACATGTACATTCCTTCTTTACTGTATGACTTGACCTGCTTTGTACTTTTTCTTTTTTCCCAACTCTTATTCTCCCATTCATACCCCCTTCACAGTATACACAACATACACTTTGTCTGCTTTGAAGTTCTTTTTAGCCCCCTCCTTTGCCTAAAGATACCATCCTAGACATACTTGCTTCATCTGTTTGACATTTGAAAAAATACAGTTGAGCTGTCATTTATGTATATCTAGTTCTGTTGCCATCAAAATCCTCCTTTGATTATTTTTTCTGTTGACCTGCCTGCAAAGAATCAGAAAAACCACCTGGAGTATATGTCAACATCAGGCTGCAAATAATTTAAACTTTGTATAGGCCCATTGTCTTTTTCAGTGGTTCTCAATCTGTGGTCCATGGACCCCTAGGTCCATGATGTTGTCACAGAGGATCTGCAAAGGCTTGAAGAAATCTTATGGTTGAGTTAAGACATGGGGTCCGGGGTCATGGTCCACAAAAGGTATTTAAAGAGGGTGAAGAAAAAGTCAAGAACCACTGGTCTATGTGGTTCTGTGAGAAAATACTGAAAAGAAAGTATCCTATTAGTTGCTTGGGCAAGTAGGGGGATATAAATGAGGAAGTAATATGTGTGTCATTACATCATCCCACAAATGAAATGAGTACCAGAGCAACCTGAATTGATAACCAACAACTAGTACAGAAGACCTTTTGGTGCAAAAGCCCTGCCCATAGGCCACCAATAACCCATGAGCACCACGTTTTGCATTCTACAGAGTGACTCCCCCCAGCACTACTAGGGCCAGCATTTTGGGGAACACTGCTCTAAAACATGTTCCAGTTTGATTGACCTATTCCAAAAAAGATTTAAGTAGCTGGTTTTTCCTCCGGCTACTTATTTTTGTTACTACTGCTTATTTGCAAACAAAAAACAAAAAAAATCATGCTATCAAAGACTTTGTACGTTAGGAGAAAAGAATGACATATGCATGCTTTTTAATTCTCTTTTTATTTATTGCAGTCCAGAAAACATATAATTGAAATCCAACTTTTGTCTAGCTAGCACAATAATGTGATAAAAATTCTTCATTGTTTCTGATTGTGGTTCATGGATTACACAGAAATCTTGACAACTCCACTTAGGAAATAATTAGTCAAAAAAGTAACCTCAAATATTCTGTGAAAGAGCAAAACAGCTACTGACTAACATTGAAGGAAATATGAGAATTTCATATAGGTCTATATGTTTTAAGGGCTTGGAATAATGAGCAGAAATATCTCTGAAAAATAAATAATAGAGCTAAATTGGTGCTAAGAAAGTAATTGGAAGCTTTGAGAAATTGTCAGTGACTAACATATATACTGGTTGTTAGGGGAGGAAAATTTGGGCTGAAGATAATAGTGACTAGGGTTATATAGTGTTTCAGAAAAGTGAAATGGTCTATTCTAAAAATGTGCTTTCATGTTGTGTGTGAGTGGGATGGAAACTGGTTACACTCTTTAAAGCAGCTGCATCTTTCCTAGCCATTGGCATCGGCTGCTGGAGGCACCTGAGAAGGCACCTTTTAGTATCCAACCTGAAGTATCCTAATGGTGCCTGATATACATGAGTGTCCAGGCAAAATACATGTGTCTTGATTGCTTTAGATGACATATTAT